AGGGAACCCCACCACCAACAAAAGGAAATAAGGGCCTACTCCGGGTCCTAGCTTAGGGTGGCTACACGTTCCCTTCATATGGGCCCATAAACAGGAACCCCTTCTGTACCCCTTAAATCCCCTATCAAACCCCAAGGGCCTGAACCCCAAGCCCCTGAAACCCGAAACCCGAAACCCCAAAAATTGGCGCCCCAGCCCTCCGGATACGGACCCTGTGAGGAACAGTTTGACAATTACGGGGCTTAAAGGTCTTTTGGGTTTACAGGGTTTCAAGGGCTTAAAGGATTTAAAGAGCCTAAAGGGTTTAAAGGGTTTAAAGGGTTTAAACAATTTTAAGGGTTTAAAGGGTTTAAACGGTTTAAAGTTCAGGCCTAGAACCCTGAAAGCCACGCAGTCGACATCTCGACCAAGCTTCCGAACTTTCCGGTGTCGAAGAGCTTTGGCAGCAGCTTTGAAGGATACAGCGCGCATGAGAGTTTCATGACCAAGTCACCTGGCTCAAGGTCAAGATCCCTAAGACCCCCGATTAAGGTCCCTTAAGGTCTCTTGAGGACCTCCTTAAGGTCTCTTAAGGGGCCCTAAGGCCCCCTTAAGGCCTCATAGAGAGTTTCATGACCAAAGTCAACCTGGCCCAGGGCCTCACACAGAGTGTCGAGATGGCCCTTAAAACCCTTTGAAGAAGTTACTCCTGAATATGATCCTCTCCCATAAGGGTCCATCTCTAGTATCCATTATGGACTGGTGTACCTCAAAGCCCCATTTAGTACGGTTTTTTGGTACCCAATTCCATAATGGCACTACAGATACGGACATCCCTCTGTGTCTTAAACCCAAGAAGGGAACATAAGCTAGATCCCAGGAGTAGCCCAGGAATAAAAAAGGGTGCCATTTTTTTGGGATTAGTATACAGGGGGCTCATGAGGGAACCCAAACCCAAACCCACAAAAAAAAGGAAATAAGGGCCTACCCTGGGTCCTGGCAAAAAATGTCCGAGGGCCTACCGGAGAGCTAAACCCTAAACCCTAAACCCTAAGTTCAGGGTTCAGGCATTTACCCTAAACCCTAAACCCTAAACCCTAAACCCTAAACCCTGAACCCTAAACCCTAAACCCTAAACCCTAAACCCTAAACCCTAAACCCTAAACCCTAAACGTAGTACTCGGCGCGACCCAACTCCACCCTCGACCTCTGCCGGACGGACCCCATGCCTTCGGGGTGTCGAGAGCTCAAAAATCTCAAAAATCCTCGGTGGTATCCTTTGTGCCGGTTTAGGGTTTAGGGCTTAGGGCTTAGGGTTTAGGGCTTAGGGCTTAGGGTCAAAACGCCGAAGAACCTTGACCACAACTTGACTTGCCACCAAGTTGCAATCGTAATGGATGCCGAGTGCTTTGGGGGAAACCTGGTCCAGTGCGTGGTTGGCAGAGTTAGGGCTTGAGGGTCTTGATTTGCTTTGAGGGTTTTAGGGTTTAGGGTTAGGGCTTGAGTCATTGAGGGTCTTGATTTGCTTTGAGGGTTTTACGGGTCTCAAGGGTCCGTAGGGTTTTGAGGGTGTCCAGGGCTTTGGTCTTGGGTTATAGGTTTGGGGTTGTGGTGAGGGTTTATAGTGTTGTAGCTTCAGCAACCAGACCCAAGAGCTAGGAGTAAAAGGTGCCCTTTTTGACCTCGAGGGGCTGATAAAGGGAACCCAAACCTGAAAAACAGGGAATAAGGGCCTACTCCGGGTCCTAGACACCCAAACCCGAAACCCTGCACCCCCAACCCTCAGGATCATGACGCTGCGGACTTCGGGCCAGTTGGGGGGGGGGGGTTGCTCCCAAAAAAAAACCGAGATGGTCTTGCAGACAAAGCCCCCCCACCCCCCCCGAACCTGACCCCTAAAGAAAAACACACACACACACACATACACACACCCTAAATCCCAAAACCCAAAACTCAACAAATTCACAAAATGACTCCATGATAGAACACTCCAGCAGCTGCATCCAGAAATGCTTTGTGGGCCTCCGCAGCATAGCCCTCCAGCCACTGGCAGATTTCACGCCGGCAGGCCTGTCTGTAAGGTCTTAGGGCCTTAGGGCTTAGGAGCACGCAGGCATATGGGCATGTCCCAAACAAATTCGGGCCCCTCATCCCTGCACGATATATATATATATATATATCTGTATAAATACATCAATAAATATACGAACACCCACCAACAGACTCCTAGTTTCGGAAAGCTTCCAAGGAAGGCAGACGTGAAGAGCAGGAGGGGGGCTTCGCCACTATGTTGGTTGCACCCTAAACCCTAAACCCTAAACCCTAAACCCTAAACCCTAGGCCCTAAGCAATAAGCCCTAAGCCCTAAGCCCTAAGCCCTAAACCCTAAACCCTAAACCCTAAACCCTAAGCCCTAAGCAATAAGCCCTCAGCCCTAAGCCCTAAACTCTGCTGCCTGCTCGAACTCGATGCCGTTGTCGCCCACGGAACTGCATGATCGGAAGCTCACCCTGCCAGGATGGGAAGGCTCAGGCCTTCTAATCCCTCTAAACCCTAAACCCTAAACCCTAAACCCTAAACCCTAAACCCTAAAAGACCCTGGGCATCCGAGCTACACCAAAAAGGCCCCAGGAGACACCAGGGGCCCGAAAGGCTGCAGGAAGCGCCAAGAGGCCCCAGAAAGGCCCCCAAAAGGCCACCAGAAACAAAAAAGTGGTTCAAACAAAGCTCGGCCAAGACTTTCGACCGAAACGTTTCGGTCAAAACTTTCGGTCAAAACGTTTCGGTCAAACCTTTCGGTCAAAACATTTCGGTCACGACGTTTCGGTCAAAACTTATTGGGACCCAAACCCTATACAGTTTCTATAAACCCTAAACCCTAAACCCTAAACCCTACACTCTACACCCTACACCCTAAACCCTAAAAGCCCTGGGCATCCGAGCTACACCTCCTCTTCGGTCCCACCTGGACTGCGATCGGCGTCGGGCCCCAGGCGACGAAGAGCGCCGGCGGAGGCCGCCCCGGCCCTTAGGGTTTAGGGTTTAGGGTTTAGGGTTTCGGGTTTAGGGTTTTAGTTTAGGGTTCAGGGCTTAGGGTTTAGGGGTTGGGCCTTAGGGTTTAGGATTTATGGTTTACGGTTATACTTTAGGGTTCAGGGTTTAGGGTTTAGGGCTTAGGGTTGAGGGCTAAGGGTTTAAAGTTCAGGGTTTGGGGTTTGGGGTTTAGGGTTTGGGGTTTAGGGTTTAGGGCCCGAGACATCTTCGACCTGCTTTGCTGTCCACCATCCCCCCCCTTACCTGCGTCTTCTACACACTGTTCAAAGGAGGCCCCAGTTTAGTTCCCTATCATGAAGTGGGTACTAATTACTCTCTACTTTGGAGTAGACCCTGGAATAAAAGTGTATACTTCCCTGACCTTCCTAAAGCCATGGAAAACCAGGCCGTTGCCACAAAGACTAGGATTTTCCCGGTCGCTCGTCGAACAGCCGAAAAACGGGATTTGCATACCAATGCTATTCATAGACATGACCCATCCTAAAAAAACTATATTTAACCCCCTTGGTTTTTTAAGGACGTTTCTTGAAAAAGCAACGATTTACCTCCGATAACTTTTCCGGGCCATTCGGCCCCAAAGCCACGATTTACCTCAGATGCTTGGTGGGTTTGGATTTGGGCTTGGGGCTTGGGGTTGAGGGTCCCTCAGGGGGTTTAGGGTTCAGTGAATCAACCCCTAACCCTGGGGGTTTGGGGTTCGTGCTTAAGGCCAAGGCTTAAGGTACCAACCCTTGGATTTTGGGCTTGGAGTTAAGGGTTTAGGCCTCAAGGTAGCACCCCGAGGACACTGAACCCTGAACCCTAAACCCTGCCGATCTCGAGTTCTTTTTTCAGACCCGGGCTCGCTTTCGAGCAGACTCGTTTAGGTCCAGCCGGCGAATTTTGTACTTCATCGCCATGCAGCGAAAGCCTGCCAGCTTGAGCACACTTCGCTCCATGCTCGCCTTCCTCTTCACCCGAGCAGAGAGCCCTCAGTCCCAGGTTTGGCGGAAACAGTTCAGGGCTTAAGGGTCTCTAGTGCAGCCAAGGCTCTTTTGAGGTACCCCATCTGGTCTTCGTCCAGGGCACCGTGAAGATGCCTCTGGTTCAGTCCTCGAGCAACAGGGTCCCAAGGCTACAAAAGCCTAAACCAAAGTCACACCCTTCAGGGTTTCTAAGGGTGCTGGCCAGTCTCGCCAATCTCTGGTCATGACAAGTTGCTCATGGAAACCCTCGGCTGCTATCAGCAAATGGCATTGTTTCAGGGGGAAAAGGCTGAAAAGGCTGAGCAGGGCACATGCAGTTTTGGCTTCAGGAGCCATCGTTTCAGCCGTTTCCTGCATGGAATTCATGAAAAAAAACATTCCCGGGCCATTACTACAAATCACAGCTGTCCTCTGGCATATCCTCGTCAGGGCCACATGCGACCGAAGGAATGCCATTCCAGATGCATACAGGTTGTCTGCTTCCTCGGCCGTCCTTCGTTGCTTCGAGGGTTCGGTTTTGGGGGTTAGGGAATGCAAAAAAAAGCCTTATAAGGGAGACAAGGCTCAGAAACCGGCCATAGCTATCGGAGAGGTCCATATAGCGAGCGATGGAGAGCCTGGTTTAGGGTTTCGGGTTTAGTGGGTTCTTTTGGCCATGCTAAAACTCCCCATGGCACGGAATGTGCAAAAGCCGATCACAGGGGACCAAGCAGCATTGCATGGGTCATCAGAGTGAGCTCGCTGCTCGGGTTGGCAGTAGCATCCAAAGCCAGTTTTGCCTCCTCTGCCAGCCAAGCAGCCAGGATCTTGCTGTTAAATCCTTTTCCAACCAAGTATGCACCGTGCTGGGCTTTGAAAAGCATTCCAGAAGTGAAAGGTCGCTGCGAAGAAGCCAGCTTGTTTCGGGACCTCCAGGCACAAAAGTTGTCCCAAGCCTTGCGAAGTCTCACACGGTAGTCGGTCCCCACGGGCCCCCACCATCCAAGGTCCAGCAGGCAAGCCATGGCTCCACCATTTGCTGTCCAGAGCCTTAACGGTCTCATCGGTCTATTCTTGTCTGGTGGCCCAGGATGGCCCAGGCCTAGAAAACTTTCCAATTTTTCGTCCAAGCTTCAGCCCGAGGTAGAGATTGTGGAGAATACACCAAGTAATCTTCGAAGGGTGGAAATCCGAGAGCAGCACCAAGGGCGAGGCACTGGGCTTGCTCACCTCGCTCAAGAATGCAGCCGTGCCTCGGAAATCCAGCTGGCCTGGAAGCTGGTCGATGTTCTGTCTGGCAATCCGACAGTGGTGACAGATCAAAGGGGCATTCCAGTGACTCTTCAGGGAAAGGGCCTCCCTGAAGTACTTCCAATCCCCACCAATCTCAGTGACCATGAAGCATCGGCCGGTCGTCGTCAATGGCCTGCGAGCTTCATTGAGGTCAGCCACTACACGGTGGAGAATTGGCTTCAGGGTTGGCCAGCCCAGGTAGTCGGCCATATGCAGGACAGTCAAGACGAAACGGCTATTCCTAGCCGATTTCGGTCTCCAGAGAGGGCAGCTCAAAACCAAGGCCAGGGTCTTATCACCCATCCTGGAAAGGGGAAAAAAAACCTTCCCCTAAACCCTTTTAATCCAAACCCGCCAAGCCCTGACATGCAGAACATTTTGCCCCACCCTTAATAAAGACCTAGGCACTGATTGAAAGTGGCATCGTCCCCGAAGAGTTTAAGGGGGATGGGCCACCCACCAGGCTGCTGGCTGTAGTCCTTCGCCCAGGGAACCCCTGCCTGTATGGCGTGTCTCCAGTATCGCTCCACAGCCTGGTGCGAAACCATAATACCAACATCGTCAAAAAGAAACTTCAGGAGCTCAGCAGCATTGTAGAGAGGTACCGGCCTTGTACTGTTTTTGAAGTCAGTCAGCTTGACCGGCACCTCAACCATTTGCATATCCTCAGTGTCGGCTTGAGGCAATGAGCCCTAAACCCTAAACCCTAAACCCTAAACCCCAAACCCTAAACCCTTAGTGTAGTCGTACTAAGCCATGTCACCAAGGGCATCTTTGCAAAGCGAGCGAAGTTTCGAGCATCGTTGGCAGAGCCCTTGTAGGAAGCCAGCTTCTTGGTGGCTGCAGAGGAATAACCATGGGAATCCTTGGGAATTGAACGGACCCCCCTCCATGAGAAATGCAAGGATGGGCCTAGGGTTTAGGGTTTAGGGTTTGGGGTTTGGGGTTTAAGGTTTAGGCTTTAGGGTTTAGGTGATTTCAACCTAGGACCCGAAAAGCCCAGAACCCCAAGCCCTGCTTGGTATAAATAGATGTCTTGGCCATGGTCCTTGACTGCAGCCCGAGCTGATTTCATCTGCTGGGTAATGCTGGAAGCCTGGGCATCAACTGGTAATGGAATTTCAGGGCTTTTTTCTGGTCTTAGTGACTCCGGCTGATTTCGTATCCTAAACCCTAAACCCGAAACTCGAAACCCTAAACCCGACACCCGAAACCCTAAACCCTAAACCCTATTTCGGGCTAAGGTTTAGGCTGTGTTCAGCAAGGGCTTTCTTTGGGGCGTCCTGGCTTTGTTGGTTTGCTACTGAATCTGGTAGGGCAACCCCATCTCCGATTTCCTCCAGCATGTTGAGGAAAAAGGGCGCGTTTTCCTCCAGATCTGTGCTGCCTGGCATGAAATTCAGGGTTTAGGGTTTAGGGTTTAGGGCTTTCATGTGTGGTGCACCATGCCAGCTACAGCCCTGATTCTTTTCCTGCGAGGAGTCGGTTGGTAGCTGCCTGCTTCTAAGCAGCAGGTCCTATGGGTTCGCACACTCCCCTGCAAGAACCCCACCTGCCGAGCTGGAACCCGGTCACACCTTTTCGGTGGCACAGGATTTGCAATGGCAAGCTCCGACACACAAGAGTGTGTCCAGGCTCTATGTTGGTTCAGCATGTGGCCAGGATGATTTCGTTGAGCTTTTAGCAGGGCTTGTATACACGGATATATGCTGGTCATCAACCTGGCATAGCCCAGAACAAGCCGATCCTACCTGGAGCCCTTGCTCCTCGCCCCTGAGGATGTTGCATCCTCACTGTGGCCCTTGGCCGACAAGAGGAGGCGATCTGTGGCAGCAAGCAGGTTCTCCAGGATGGTCTTCTGTGGCGGGATGTCCTTCTCCTGAAAGGGAAGGGCTTTGGGCTTATGGAGCTTCCTGAATGGTTTGGGGTTTGGGGTTTTACTTGGGGCCTAAACACAAAAACCTAAACCCTGAACCCTAGGGTTTTGCTTTAGGGCATGGCTTGCATCATGGGCCTTGTGCCCATCGATGAGGACCTGCAGCCGGTTCCTTGCTTTCGAGATGTCCTTCACTTTGCTCTGGAGGTCGTCCAAGTATGCTTTGCGGAAAGCTTCCCCCCTGCCGGGCTGATGAAGGGGGTTTAGGGTTTAGGGTTTAGGGTTTAGGGTTTGGGGTTTGGGGTTTGGGGTTTAGGGCTGAGGCTTATAAATCGTCAGAGTGGCATGTCTTCAAGCTGAGCCGACTTCATGCTTAGCTTCGAGATCTCCTGGATGCGAGTGCTGGCCCTGGCAACGACCTCCAGGGCTTAGTGTTATGGTTTGGGCTGGGGTAGAGTTTAGGGTTTAGGGTTTAGGGTCTAGGGTCTAGGGTTTAGGGTTTAGGGTTTCGGGTGGTTAAAGCCCAGACTCGGCCTTCTCAGCATCCTTCGTGACATCAGGTGTCTGGGCATCGGGCAGCAAGGCCTTCTTCTTTGGATTCGCTTTCGCCTGACGTGGGCGACATTGCATTTGGGCATGATAAGGGTTTAGGGTTTAGGGTTCAGGGTTTAGGGTTTAGGGTTTAGGGCTTAGGGCTTAGGGTTTAGGGTTTAGGCGGGGGTTTATGGTTTAGGGCCGGGTTTATATTTGGGTTTAGGGTTTTGGGTGTACTGTGAAGTCTTCATCTCACGACACCCTAAAAAACTGGCCTTCAATGCTCCTCCACGACCGGCCTTGCCTCCTCGCTTTGCCTTCGGGGCGGGCGACGGGCTCTCGTCGCTGATTGTAAGGAGTCGCGAGATCCAGTCCTCCTTGCACTCCTCCTCCATGTCTGTGTCCAAGGTCCAAAACTGGCGAGCAACCTGATGGTTTAGGGACAATAAGCCTTAAAACACAACCCCTAGACCCTAAACCCTAAACCCTAAACTTAACCCGTAAACCCTAAACCCTAAACCCTAAGCCCCAAACCCCCCTTAAACCCTAAACCCTAAAGAATGCATTGCCTCGACTCCCGGACAGTCCGGATTGTCTCGCACTTCCTCCGGCTGGTTGGCCTCCTTGTACTCCTTGATTGCCGTGGCCGTTGCCTCGCCAAACTTCTGGGTGAGTTCAGCGATGGTCAGCCATCGCTTCACTCCCCGTCTTGTCCGGCTCTCCTTGTTGGCCACGTTAATAAAGACACTGCTTTTCCTCCAATTCTCCTCGCTGGTGACCCAGGATTCGAAGAGGTAGTGCAAAGCGGCCTTTCCTGGGCCACATATCCCCACTTGGACCCCAAACCCTCAGCCCCAAATCCTGAACCTCGAAAGCCACCGAGGCACTGTTCTCTGCCGACTTGGCGTTGTTGCCGATCGAGCAGATCTCCGATGGCGAGTTGGGGCCTCTGGCTTGCAGTTTAGGGTTTAGGGTTTAGGGTTCAGGGTTTAGGGTTTAGGGTTCAGGGTTTAGGGTTTAGGGTTTAGGGTGGTTATAAAATGCACAAAAAAAACGTGCAATTTCCTTGTAAGCTGCTCTCGAGAGTTCGCATGAAGCGAGCCCACTTGGCATGGGCCCTGAGGTAGGCCTCCCTTTTCTGCTGCTTCTTCTTTTTCTTTGCTTCTTCCTGATCCTCCTGCTTCTGGTCGGCCCCCTTCTCCTCCTGTGCACAAATCCACCGGACCCAGTTTGGAATTCAGGGCTGTCGGTTTTAGGGGTACAATGAGGTTTTTGTTTCAGGTGCCTCAGCAGTCTTGGCGCTTTCGCCCCAATCCCAGGCACTGTCCCATGCCCCATAGCTGCTCTGGTGCCAGCCACTCCAGCCATGCCCGGCATCCTGGTTGTACCACTTGCTGTGCTCGCCATACCAATAGCCCCATCCTCCACTCATGTCGTCGCCAGCCTTGGGCAGATGGTCGGGTTTACGGTTAGGGTTTAGAAGAAAACCCAAAGTCGTACAAACTCGGGCCCCAAAGCCATGAACTGAAACACCCTTGAAGTCCTGGTTGGAGGCATCCTCCTTGGCAAGCTTCTTCTTGTCCTGAATGTTTAGGGTTTAGGGTTTAGGGTTCAGGGTTTAGGGTTTAGGGTTTAGGGTTGAGGGTTTAGGGCTTCCCTGAGCCATGGCATAAACCCTTGCAATTCAACATAGGTCCTTCTTCGGGGCTGCCTGCAACTGGTTCTCATCCTGGTTCTCCCAGCTGAGGGGTGGCGACCTTGGGGCCTTCTTCGTAGGCGGTGTCGTGGCATCCTGCAGCAGCCCAGAAGTTGGAAACCCACAAGCCTCGACAGCAACCCCAAAATCCCATGACAACCCTCCTCCATGTCCAATGCCAAGGCAGCCGGCTCGTCCTCTGCGGAGCTGGCATCCTGGCCAGATTGTCGTGTCTGGGCAGGGTTTAGGATTTAGTGTTCGGGGTTCAGGGTTAGGGAATTCGAAAAAGGCATTGGTCTGGCCGGCTTTGGACTTGGAAGCTTGCAGGAGCCCCAGGCCCTAACCCTTACAATTACTCAGGTTCCTCCTTGTCCGGTGCAGCTTGCGACTCAGCAGCATCGTCCGGCAGTGGCTTCGTTTCCTGGCGGGGGAGGCTGAGGGCTTGGGCTTAGGGCTTAGGGCTTCGGGTTTAGGGTTTAGGGTTTTGATCTGGGTTCTTTGGGTGCGCCTTGGCCTTCGGTTTCGGATTCTTCTTCGGCTCGTCTTGCTGGCTTTCATCCTGCAGGCACAAGCCATGCATTTATTTAAGGAAAACCAATTGCAATTAAACCCACTTACAATTCCTGAGGTTCCTCCTCTTCCGGGACAGCTTGCGACTCGGCAGCATCCTCCGGCAGTGGCTTCCTGTCCTGGGAGTGGAGGCTTGGGGCTTAGGGGTTAGGGCTTAGGGCTTAGGCCTTAGGGCTTAGGGCTTAGGGTCTGGGTCTGGGTCCTTGCCCTTGCCTTTGGCCTTCTGCTTCGGATTCTTCTTCGGCTGGGCTTCCTTATCCTGCAGGCACGAGCCAGGCGTTTAAAGGAAACCAAATTTCAAAGTATGAGCCCCGGATCCTAAACCCAGTTACAATTCCTGAGGTTCCTCCTCTTCCGGGACAGCTTGCGACTCGGCAGCATCCTCCGGCCGTGGCTTCGTCTCCTGGTGGGGGAGGCTTAGGGCTTAGGGCTTAGGGGCTTAAGGCTTAGGGCTTAGGGTTTAGGGTTTTGGGTCTGGGTCCTTGCCCTTGGCTTTGGCCTTCGGTTTCGGATTCTTCTTCGGCTGGGCTTGCTTGCTTTCGTCCTGCAGGCACGAGAAATTTAAAAGTATGAACCCCGTATCCTAAACCCAGTAATAATTCCTGAGGTTCCTCCTCTTCCGGGACAGCTTCCGACTCGGCAGCATCCTCCGGCAGTGGCTTCGTCTCCTGGCGGGGGAGGCTTAGGGCTTAGGGCTTAGGGGCTTAAGGCTTAGGGCTTAGGGTTTAGGGTTTTGGGTCTGGGTCCTTGCCCTTAGCTCTGGCCTTCGGTTTCCCATTCTTCTTCGGCTGGGCTTGCTTGCTTTCATCCTGCAGGCAGGAGTTTAACAAAGGAAAGCAAAAGTATGAACCCCGAATTGACTAAACCCACCTCTTCCGGGGCAGCTTGCGAGGCAGCATCGTCTTGCTGCGGCTTGGTCTCCTTGTGCTGGAAGCATTATGGGTGTATATTGATTTAGTTGAATGTCCGTTCTGGGTCCTTGCTCTTGGCTTTAGCCTTGGGAAGCTTCTTGGGCTGGGCTTGCTTGCTTTGCTCCTGCTGGCAGGATCCAGAGTGGTTCGTTGTAGCGACAGATCCTGCTTGCCAGTCCTGGCACGGGAGCCGAGGCTTGGCAGCCTTCTTCTTCGGTGGCTCGTCCTGATTGTGAGGTCGGGGGGTTTCAGGGCCGATGTGAACAATTTCGGAACACAAGGCCTCATTCTCAGCTTCAGCGAACTGCGAGTCCAAGTTTCGCTTGCAAGCGTCCTCATCCAAAGTAGGTTGTAATGGACAGCATTAAGCTTGCAATCTCAGAGGAAGCCTGGCAGTCATCCTCCTCCTCCTCCTCTACAGCAAACTTAGCCTTCTTCAGCCAGAGCTTCCGGGTCGAGTCCTGTAGAAGAACATACAGACAGCTTGGGGTTCAGGGTTTAGGGCTTTAGGGTTTAAGCTCCTCGGATTTTTCTCGCTTCCTGTGCCTGGGTGCTGTTGGTGCAGAGCTGCTCGTGCTTCCCAGACTTCTCCTGTGCCAAGATCCGGAAAAAACCCTAAACCCTAAACCCTAAACCCTAAACCCTAAACCCTAAACCCTAAACCCTAAACCCTAAACCCTAAACCCTAAACCCTAAACCCTAAACAACAAAACACCCAACCCCAAACCCAAGACTACAGCAGAAAGGTTTGGCCTCGAGGGCTGTCGGATCAATTGCCTGCTGTTCCTGCCATGGCTCAAAACTTGATCGAGGTCGAAGGCCGGCGGTTGTTTCGTGCCAGCCATGTCTCCTTCAGAGCAGCAAAATGCTTGCTCGTGTGCTTGAGCAGGGGCAGGACACACGAGAACGTTCGAAAATGTTCGGGGTGCTTGTGTCTGTGGTCGGGGGAGGGGCCTACTCACGCTTTCTCACGCTTTTCTCATGGTGTTTTTTGCGGCTGCTCGGCTCGTGAACCAATTTAAAAGCCGAACCCACTCACGATTACTCATGCTTTTCTCACGGTTTTTGGGCTGCTTTTGGGTTGCTTTTCAGGGCCTGTTTGTTGGGCTGTTGGTGGGTTCGAAAGGTGACACAGATAGCCTCGGCTTTCACCGATCAAGATGCGAGGCCGACAGCAGCTCTCCTGCCGGCAAGGAGCATCCTAAACTTGAACCCTAAACCACCGAAGGCGTCAACCCCAAATCCCTAAAGCCACAAAACCCTAAACCCTAAACCCTAAACCCTAAACCCTAAACCCTAAAACCCTAAAACCCTAAAACCCTAAAACCCCAAACCCTAAACCCTAAACCCTAAACCCTAAACCCTAAACCCTAAACCCTAAACCCTAAACCCCCCAAAGCCTTTATACCTAAACCCTGAACCAACCCGAGAATCCCTAAACCACTCAGAATCCCAAACCCCAAAACCCTACCCTAGCCAAGTTGCTTCCTGGCTGCATCGGCTTCAAGTCAAGCTGCAGGCCACCTGTCGGCAGGGAGATTAGTTTAAGGTTTGGGGTGTAGGGTTTAGGGTTTGGGGTTTAGGGTTCAGGCGTTAAGGGTCGAAGAGGCTGGGGGTCTTGCTCGTCAGGGTTTCGGTGTGTAGGGTTCAGGGTTTAGGGGTTTAGGGCTTTAGGGTTTAGGGTTGAGGGTTTAGGGTGTAGGGTTTAGGGTTTAGGGTTTAGCGGTCTAGGGTAAACTCCAGGGTCACACAAAACCCCAAAACCCTAAACACCAAACCCAAAACACAGACTGTGCCAAGGTGCCTCATGACTGCTTCGAGAGACCAGGCCACCTGTCGGCAGGGAGATTAGTTTAAGGTTTGGGGTGTAGGGTTTAGGGTTTGGGGTTTAGGGTTCAGGCGTTAAGGGTCGTTTAGGGGTTTAGGGGTTTAGGGGTTTAGGGGTTTAGGGGTTTAGGGGTTTAGGGGTTTAGGGGTTTAGGGGTTTAGGGGTTTAGGGGTTTAGCGGTTTAGGGGTTTAGGGGTTTAGGGGTTTGGGGGTTTAGGGGTTAAGGGTTAAGGGTTTAGGGTTTAGCGGTCTAGGGTAAACTCCAGGGTCACACAAAACCCCAAAACCCTAAACCCCAAACCCAAAACACAGACTGTGCCAAGGTGCCTCAGGACTGCTTCGAGACCAGGCCACCTGTCGGCAGGGAGATTAGTTTAAGGTTTGGGGTGTAGGGTTTAGGGTTTGGGGTTTAGGGTTCAGGCGTTAAGGGTCGAAGAGGGTTTAGGGGTTTAGGGGTTTAGGGGTTTAGGTGTTTAGGGGTTTAGGGGGTTTAGGGGGTTTAGGGGTTAAGGGTTAAGGGTTAAGGGTTAAGGGTTTAGCTGTCTTTCAAGCAACCCAACCCCCCCTTCTCGAGGTCCAAATGGGGGGGCTGGGTTTAGGGGTTTGGGGCTGTCTTTCAAGCAAACCCAACCCCCTCCTTCTCGAGGTCCAAATGGGGGGGGGGGGGGTTTAGGGTTTAGGGTAAACTCCAGGGTCCCACAAAACCCCAAAACCCTAAACCCCAAACCCAAAACACAGACTGTGCCAAGCTGCTTCATGGCTGCTTCGAGCCCAGGCCACCTGTCGGCAGGGAGATTTATTTAGGGTTTAGGGTGTAGGGTTTAGGGTTTGGGGCTTAGGGTTCAGGGTCGAAGAGGCTGGGGGTCTTGCTCGTCTGTAGGGTTGAGGGTTTAGGGTTTAGGGGTTTAGGGGTTTAGGGGTTTAGGGGTTTAGGGGTTTTGGGGTTTTGGGGGTTTAGGGTTTAGGGTTCAGCGGTCTAGGGTAAACTCCAGGGTCCCAGAAACCCCAAAACCCTAAACCCCAAACCCAAAACACAGACTGTGCCAAGGTGCGTCATGGCTGCTTCGAGCCCAGGCCACCTGTCGGCAGGGAGATTTGTTTAGGGTTTGGGGTGTAGGGTTTAGGGTTTAGCGGTTTAGGGTTCAGGGTCCAAGAGGCTCGGGGTCTTGCTCGTCAGGGTTTCGGTGTGGAGGGTTTAGGGTATAGGGTTTAGGGGTTTAGGGTTTAGCGGTCTAGGGTAAACTCTGGGTCCCAGAAACCCCCAAACCCCAAACCCGAAAACCCTAAACCCCAAAACTAAAACCATACTCTGGGGTCTTAGGTGTTCGGGGCCTCAGGAACCAGGGCAATCCCCAGCCCTCTTTTTGGCACTCGTGCCGGCGATCAAGCATCCCTCACTCGTCCTGCTTCACCTCGCCCGGGCTGCTGATCTCTTCCTGCTTGACCTCGCCCGGGCTGCTCTCTTCCTGCTTCACCTCGCCCGGGCTGCCCATCTCTTCCTGCTTCACCTCGCCCGGGCTGCCGATCTCTTCATCGCCACCACTGTCGGTCCTCGGGTTTCGGGTTTAGGGCTTAGGGTTTAGGGTTGAGGGAGGTTTAGGGGTTTAGGGCTCTAGGGTTTAGGGTTGAGGGATTAGGGTTTAGGGGAAGGACAGGCCGGCCTCCTGTGTTTCGTCTTTGGCCGCAGCTGGAGAACCTTGTTCCGCTTGGTTCCTCGTGGTGGTGGTGATGGTGGTGATGGTGGTGGTGGTGGTGGTGGTGGTGGGGGTGGTGGTGGCGGTGGTGGTGCTGGTGCCGGTGCTGGTGCTGGTTCTGGTGGTGGTCGTGGCTGTGGTGGTGGTGGGCCGTCTAGTCTGGAAAAGAAGGGGCCCCATGGTACCACCTGTTGGGGGGGCTCGTCCTCCCTGCTAAAGGGGGATTGGATTGGAGGGACAGAAAACTCCTGGGCTGGTGCCCGTGCTGGTGGTGGTGGGCCGTCCTCTCTGTCAAAGAAGGGGCCCCATGGTCCCACCTGTTGGCGGGGCTCGTCCTCCCTGGTAAAGGGGGATTGGATTGGCGGGACAGGAGGGCCCTGGGCTGGTGCCGGCCACACGGGGAACCACATGGCTCAGGGTAGAGTGTGTGTGTGTGTGTGGGTGTGTGTGTGTGTGTGTGTGTGTGTGCATGTGTCTGTGTGTGTGTGTGTGTCATAGTGTGTGTGTGTGTGTGTGGGGGGGAGTCATGAAGGGGGGTTCGATCACGAGAGCTGCAGGAGATGGGAGGTGTAAACCCGCTGAAGCCTGAAGAACCCTCTAACCCTGAACCCTTACAACCAAAATTAAGAATCCAAACAACCCCAAACCCTGCCCTAACATCCCTGAACCGAAACAACCCCAAACCCTCAGGGTTTAGGGTTTAGGGTTTAGGACTTAGGATTAGGGTCCAACCCACATCCGGCCTCACGAGACAGGGTCCCAGCCGGCAGCTTGACAAGCCCGGGACCACCTCGGAAGGGGCGGGAAGGATGAACCTTAAACCGAAAGCCATAAACCCGAAACTTTCAGCGACTGAGCTCCGGTCGCCCTCCGGAAGCCCTGGTGATTAGACCAGGTAAACGGAGTGCCTTTTTTTTTGTTCACCTGCCAACAGGGACCCTGGACCCTAAACCCGGCCCTCAACCCCAAACACCCCTGGCCTTGCAGTGGGTGCCCCATGAATGGTTGCACCGAGCCAGGTGCTGGTCCGACATGTTGTTCACGTAAAAGGATCCTAACTGGAACCTGAGCTCAAGATGCTTACATGCTGCTCCTAACAGTAGATCGAGCCAGGGCACAAGACACCAATCGAGGACTTGTGGCCTGTGAGCCGGACAGTGAAGGACCTGGGCCAAGGGCTTGGGGCCAAGATGGGTTGTGGGATCCGGGCGACAGCATGCCAGAATGCATGCCTAGTGGCATGGTCCTGTCCAAGACATGCTGCTGCGGCACCTTCATGCGACTGTCCTGCTTCGCGATGGTAGCGATGGCCCGAAGATGGCGATCCCTGCAGTCCTGGTCGGGGTCACTGCTACCAGGTTCCGAAACCCTAAACCCTGGATCGCCGAAACCTCAGGGCCGGGAGTTGCTGTCCTTCTCGTAGGCACTCAGCTTGCCGACTCTGCTGCACACCTGCAGGGCACAAAAGGAGGTTTGTTAGGGATGGAGGGTTTAGGGTTTAGTTTTGAGCGACACCTTTCTATAGTCAAGCCCGACAAGGAACCCTAGGCCCTTAACCTAAACCCCAAACCGTTGCAACAATCCAAGGCATGGCCAGCTGCTGTCATGCGGAAGCGAGGCCCCGGAGCTAGGGTTTAGGGTTGGCCACAAGGGTGTCTTCAGCTGGGGCTTCTTTGGGGCGTGGCCATGAGTGGGAAACATTTTGCAAGGGAACTTAGGGGGCTTTTCTGGGTCTAGTGCAAGTGCTTTCGGTTGTGTTTGTCGCTTTGTGTTAAATCGCGGGTTTAAAGGGTTTAGGGTATCGTTTAAACTCCAATCCTAATTCCCAGTGTCCTGGTCTTGGCCTAAAGCGTTGCCGAAACCCCAAAATGAAACCTGCACACTCCACCCCCCCCCCCCCCCCCCCCCAAAGTCCTCTGCGACATCAGGCATTGACTGCTCCTGGCTTAGCAGGGCAGGAATTAAACCCGGGCCCTAAACCCTAAACCCTAAACCCTAAACCCTAAACCCTAAACCCTAAACCCTAAACCCTAAACCCTAAACCCTCTACCCTAAACGAGCCCTCAACATGTACACTGAGCCCACCTCGATGTCTGGCTGCTCCTCCTTTTCGCGGGGCTTTGACTTCGCCTGGCCCTTTGCACCCGACTTCGCCTGGCCCTTTGCTCTCGGCTTCGCCTGGCCCTTTGCAGTCGGCTTCGCCTGACTCTTTGCAACAGACTTCGCTTGTCCCTTTGCACCAGGCTTGGCTTTTGCCTTTCCAGACTTGGCCTTGGTCGCTCGGCCCTCCTCGTCCGGCAAGAGAACTTGGTCTGTCTCCTTCTCGTCCTCTTGGTCCAGCTGCTCATCATGCATCTGGTGCTCCTCAGCCTCGGCCCGGCCTCTTCCCCTTCCTTTTCCCCTTCCTTTTCCCCTGCCTCTGCCCCTGCCTCGGCCGGGGTCTTCTGGCTCCGGGTTCATGTCGTGCTCTGAAACGACAGCTGCCGCCCGGATCTTTTGCTGCACCTGCCAGATCCCCTACAAGTTCCTAAAACCCTCGAAGCACCCCCCCCCCCCCATGGCAGCATGTGCCTCGAAGATGTTGCCTTCATTCATACTTGCAGCCTCCACCTCCTTCTGCAGCTTCGTGGCAGCCTGCTCCAAGTCGGCCGGGACACAGGCAGCCGGCCTCTTCATGCCTCTGGCTTCCTGCGGAGGATTAGATTTCGGACCAGAGGTCTGGGGCCCAAACAGAACAAACAAGGGTCCTTCTGGGCATCGTTTCTTTTCTCCTTCTCTTCTCCCATGGCTTCTTCGACAGCCTTAGCCTCATCCTCACTACCAGCAGGAGGTGCATGAGGCTTGCAAGGAGTGGCAGGGAAGCCATCGGGGTCGTCGGGGTTCGTCACCTCATCCATCTCCTGTTCCTCCTCCTCACCTTCCTCGGCTGCAGGCTGGTGCTCGTCTTCGTCGTCGACATAGCCTCGGTGGCTTCTGGTTCTGGGCCCTGGAGAATATTAGTTTGTTCGGTTGAGGGGGGCTGGGATCTTCATGGTTTGGGACTTGAGAGCCCAAAAAGATACCCTGGCTCCCTGAACTCCCTAAACCCTAAATGCCCTGCTCCCTAGATAGGGGTTTAGGCTTCGGGTTAAACTTTGGGGATATAGGCTTCGAGGCTTTTGGCTACAATTGCGCGCTTTTGTGGTGAAATCCTCTGCCCCCAACCCAAACACCCAAACCATGAAAATCCCCAACCCAAAGCTTTGAAAACACCATAGGGCATGCACCTGTACACCTGAACCCCTAATTCCCCAAACCCTAAGCCCTCTACCCTGAACCCTAAGTTTGAACCTTAACCCTGAAACCTCAATCTGAACAGAAGCCATCACCGGCACTCTCCTCATCCTCCACCTGGTTCTGGCCAGGGTCGTCTGCAGGCACCATCCTCTCCTGGCATGGCAGGTTTTAGGGTTTAGGCTTTAGGGTTGAGGGTTAAAAACCAGCCCAGAACCCTGAACCCTGGTGTAAACCCTGCCTATAAGGCTAGGCACGAGGTGTCCTGCATGGCCTCCTCTTGAAGCCTCACCACAAGCTTCTTAAGCAATGCCATGTTGGCTGTCGTAGTCCTGCAAGGATGGGGCTGGTTCCGAGCTACTATCCAGTTCATTTAAACAAGGGCCAGCCCAGCCTGGCATCCTTGTTCTTGTTGCTGCGAAGCAAGACGTGGGACATGAGAGCTCGGTGCAAGTCGCCTTCTGTTCTTGCCCAAACCTCCAGCGACTGGCAGGGAAAAGCCCAATGCCCATTAACCATATCCCTAAAGCCTAAAATCATCCCTAGAATGCGAGTCCTAAACCCTAAATCAGAATCTAGAAGTCCTAACCCTTAAACCCTTCTAATATCGGGCCCGAGGCCCCATGGTTTTCAGTGTATTTGAATCCAAGGGATGCTGGCCTCCACAGCTGCTGCTGCGGCATTCTCCCCAAGAAGCTTCTGCTTCTTGGCCACTCTTTCCAGAGCTGCCTGTGTCTCCTTACTCGTCGGGGTTTTCAGCCCCACAGTGCCAAGGAGCCGGGCCACGACAGCTGCATTGTGGGCATCTTCGACCTGGGCCGAAGGATGAGGTTCCCAAGCTGTGGTGTTCGGCTTTTGTGGTGATTCCTTATTCTACGGTTTCCGGGCCTCGTCCCTTCCCACCATTCCATGCTGCAAGTTGACGAAGCTGAAGAGAACAGGCATCTGTCACGAGTGGATGGGACATATAGCTTTAAATTTTCAGAGGGTTTCATGCAAGTGTTCAACACCATGCCTCCCCTCGCTCCAAAGCTTTCTTGGCTTTCGAGAGCAGGATACCCTTTTCTTTGCAAAGGTCCAAGATTCGCAACTCCTTGAAGCCGTCGGTCTCCAGGGTTCTATTGTACATCTCCTTCCAGGCACAATCCCTGAACTCCCTTGTTCATTAAACCTGGCCCTAAACCCAGAAGGACGGCCATCCCTGCTCCCCAGTCTCAAGCTCAAGTGCCTCCAGAAACTGCACTCGAACCGGATCAGGTCGAGACTTTGGCATGCTTGCCAGCCAGCAAAGCGGCTGGGAGGAAAAAAAAGTGCCCTGGGGAGCCCGAGCCTGCGAGGGCCGAAGCTCAGGGCAGGGGGTGCTCCTGATCCTAAACCCTAATCCCTAAACCCTGGCACGGTTTTTCGGCTTCAGGGTTGGGAGTGTGGGGCAGGGCACACAGCTGATTCCACATAGGGGGGGGGGGGGACCCCAATTTAGGGATTAGGGACTGAGCCCTTTTCTGGATCCCAAAACCCTAAAATCTAAACCCTAACCCTAAACACTGCCGAGGTTCCCATCGACCGGTACTTGAACCTAAACCCTAAACCCCCTAAGCCCGAAACCCTAAACCCTATAACCAACCCTGAACCCTAAACCCTAAACCCCGAGACCCTCAACTCAGCCGGGGAGACCATGTGCAGCCGAAATCGCATCTGAATCATTGTCCGGGTTCAGACCTTCAGCCCAGTGAAGGTGTGGGGTTTGGCTTGGCTTGGGGATGGGCCTAAGGTTGGACAGCTGGGAACCCTGCAGGATAACAGGGCTTTCCTCATGGAAAGCGGCACATCAGCCAAATATCCAGATCCATGGTCAAGACCAGATCATTTGTACCTGCATGCATTCGGGATCTGGGACAGGGGCAGGCAAGAAAGCCTAAAACCCTGAACTCGAAACACAAGACCCCAGGGCACAATTCCCGCTGCAAGCACCGATGCGACGACTTTGCCATGGCACAAACCCTTCTAAGGGCCGAGGATAGAGGCACAGGGTGGTGGGCTTGAGGCCTTGGACCCGGGCCTCTGCTTCTTCGTGGGCTTCCTGGTCTGGGGGGGCTTAAGGGGAAGAGCAAGTCTCTGGTTCTTCGTGGGAAGAGCAAGTCTGAGCCTCAACACCACAGCAGGCCGAAATCTGCACCTACCCCTCAACCTGCCCAACACCCTGAACCCAAGGACCCCTGAAGAGGTAAGGGTTCAGGGGTTAAACCTGGGTAACCCTAGGCTTTCAGTAGGGCTGTTTTTTTCTTCAACATGAAGCAAGGTAAATCCTTGCTGTTGCCGTCCGGCAATCGAAACATGTCAAAGGTAAAAAATTATGGCGTTGCCATTTTCGTATTAACAGGAAAAACATGGCTGTTGCCATGAGAAAACGATCCATGTTACCACGAACATCGTCGGGGTAGAATGAGGTCGCAAGGGGGTAAAACGAAACCGCACCGAACAACCAGGGAAAACCAGGTCGAAGAAGGCCAGGGCTTTTTAGGCAGAAGGAGCTAGAATGGGGAACCCAGAACCAAAAAGTATTAAAGTATAGTACTCCAAGACCCAGTACTCGACATCCTCGAGGGTTAGAGTGTTGATGCCGTCGCGTGTCCGGCCGCCCGGCACCGGCGCCAGCCAAAGCCCAAGCAGTGGAAGGAGATGGCCGGGACGCTTCCTCACGGAAGGGTCCCTGAATCCTATTCCCACCCGTGGCCTTGTTTAGGGTTTAGGGTTTAGGGTTTAGGGTTTAGGGTTTAGGGTTTAGGGTTTAGTGTCTAGGGTGGATCCAAGGGTAGTTAGATGCTGCCTTGGTATGGGCCCCCTCTGATATACCCTTTATAGACCCCATACAACCCAAACGAGATCACAAAAAGCTCTGCCTACCGCTACTTGTGAGGGCGGCAACCCAAGGCCCATACATCACAACCCTGCAAAGGAGGCAAGGGCCCACGTAACTACCATTAGACACTCTAAACCCTAAACCCTAAAACCCTAACCCCTAACCCCTAAACCCTAAACCCCTAAACCCCAGATGCCAAGCCCGAAGTCCCATCAGCCCAATCTGTGAAAGACACCTCAGTCGCGCTCTGCGGGTACTGCTGTCTCCCACTGCTCCTTGGCGTCGGCTTTGGCAATTTTCGGGTGTACCCTAAACCCTAAACCCTAAACCATAAACCCTAAACTCCGAACCCCCAACCCTGAACTAACCCTAAACTTACCCAAAACCCTAAACCCCAAACCCTAAACCCTAAGACATCCCCGATCCCCCAACCATAGAACCCGAGGATTTTTTTGAGGGGATGTGGAGTCTTTGGCAGTCCGGCAGGCACTTGAAGGGTTTAGGGTTTAGGGTTTGGGGTTTGGGGTTTAGGGTTTAGGGTTTGGGGTTCAGGCATGAGGGTTGACTCAGAAAGGGCCACCTGATTCTCAGACAGGCCGTAACCTTCCTAAAACCCCTCAAGTAGAAACAGGATCTTCCTGAGAGTTGGGGTCGGGTTTCGGGTTTCGGGTTTAGGGTTTAGGGTTTGGGGTTTAGGGTTTAGGGTTTAGGGTTTCGAATTTGCGGTCTAGAGTTTAGGGGTTACTGTAGGATGTAGGGTTGAGGCGTCACTGTGGGGTTTCAGGTTGAAGGTGCTCCTAGGTCCCAGGCTTCTAAGGGATTAAGACTAGGGTTTAGGGTTTAGGAGTTTAGGGTTTAGGGTTTAGGTTTTTTTGGGGTTTAGGGTTTAAGGGTTGTGGAGTTTACGATGGTTTTGAGGTCTTGCATTTAGGCGCCGAAAGTCGCAGATCGCGGACCTTCGATGCGATGATGCAAAGTAAGGCCTTCGGCACAAAATGAGCCTCGATGCAGACCCAAAATCCTAAGCCTTGGCCCTAAACCCTAAACCCTAAACCCTAAACCCTGAACCCTAAATCCTAAACCCGAAGAACCCTAAACCCCAAACCCTGGCATTAGACCAGCGTCGACGGTGGCTCTGTGCGGGGCCACCGCGATTCCTGGGTTGAGGCCTGTCCCAATGGCTGAGACAGGATTTCGGGTCTAGGGTGTGGGGGGCGCGTAAGGTTTAGGGTTTAGAAAATAACCCTAAACCCTAAACCCCAAACCCTAAAACGTTTAGGGTTTAGGGTCCCATGCAAGTATTAGAGTTAGGTGTTCCTTAGGGATTATAGTAACCGGAAATTTTAAAAAGCTGCTTCCAAGAACCCCTAAGATAAGCTTGAAGGTTCTGCGTAGGCGGGAGGGATGGGCTAGGGTTTAGGTTTTAGGGTTTAGGGGTTTAGGGTTTAGGGTTTAGGGCGTAGGATCCCAGATGTTCGGGCCTTCTTTGTCTCAAGTCTTGGAAAACAGGGTTTGACAGACCAAAGAATCGCAAAATACGGATGTTTCTGGTCCCTTAAGATGGGGCCCCTTGTATACCCCTTGTATACCCTATACGAGTTAAGGGCCCAGACATGAGGCTCCTTTCAAGAAGGCAAGGGACCGCATGAAGGGCCCCACGTAATCACCCTTAGAATGTTCGGCGAAAGACCACCCTCAGCCGCCCTGCACCCAAACCCTGAGCTTGAAACCCTGCACACTGAGCCGGACCCCACATCAAACAAAAACCGAAACCCCAAGCTCTCAACCCTAGACCCTAGACCCTAGACCCTAAACCCTAAACCCTGAAACCTTAGGCGGCCTGCTCTGCCACGGCACGAAGGCGCCGGACCTGCAACAAAAGCACATGCCCTCAACACTCATGGGTTCCCCCTAGTACCCCCCTCTAGGGTAGTATAGAGGGGTTTAGGGTTTAGGGTTCAGGGGGTAGTAGGGAAACCCATGAAACAGTATGCCCAAGTATTTCAAACTACGGCTGCGCAATACTATTGTGGGGATCAGGGTTTCGGGTGTAGGGCTTAAAAAGGGTCTTAGGCTTATAGGTTATAGGTTATAGGGATTTCGGGTTATACGGTTTTGGGGTTTTAGGGTTCGAAACTACTGCCTATTGCGACGACGACTGCGACTACCAGGACAAATGTGACGAGCACGAGTACTACTAGTAGCCCACCCCCTCGCCTCCTGCAACATCTGCTCACATGTTTTTGGTGACGAATGCTGCTTTTCCCCAGCTATTTCCGCGGTCGACTAGGAAACATTTTGTGCCTTTTTCAGCTGCTTCTCGAGATATAGGGCTTAGGGTTTAGGGTTGCAGCAATCGGGTCTCACGTCTTGCTTGTTGTGGTTTTCCTCATTCTGCTTCCCAGAATTAATGCTTGGCTGGAGAGCCCTGCAACACTTGAAGCCCTAACCCTAAACCCTAAACCCTAAACCCTAAACCCTAAACCCTAAACCCTAAACCCTAAACCCTAAACCCTCAAGGCCAGGATAAATAGAAATTGTAGGCGTTTCATTACGGGCAGCTCGTGCAATAATCCTTCATCCGTCACAGTGCAAAATCATCGAAAGAAAGCCCAGGTTCTGCCGGCGCTTTCCTCTCCAGCCCCTCCGCCCCTCCCACTTTTCCAGCCCCTTCCCGCCCGCCAACCCCAGCCTCCAGCCTCCAGCCCCTTGTCCCGCCTGCAACCCCTCCAGCCCCTCCAGTCCCTCCAGCCCCTCCAGTCTCTGCAGCCCCTCCAGTTTCTCCAGCCCCTCCAGTTTCTCCAGCCCTCCAGTTTCTCCACGCCCTCCAGCCCCTCCAGTTTCTGCAGCCCCTCCAGTCTCTGCAGCCCCTCCAGTTTCTCCAGCCCCTCCAGCCCCTCCAGCTTCTCCAGCCCCTCCAGTTTCTCCAGCCTCCAGTTTCTCCAGTTTCTCCAGCCCCTCCAGTTTCCCTCCACTTTCTCCAGCCCCACCCGTTCCTCCAGCCCCTCCAGCCCATCCCGCCTCGAGCCCTCGAGCCCTGGAACCTCGAGCCCCCCCAGCCCTCCAGCCTTCCCTCCAGCCCCCTCCCCCTCCAGCCCTTCTCCAGCCAAACTCCGGCCCCTCCACTCCAGCACGCACCCTAGACAAATTCTATAGTTTTAAAAAACAAAACCCGGCAAAACTCCGGACACAAACCCTATACAATTTCTATAAACCCTAAACCCTAAACCCTAAACGAAAACCAACCCGCAACCCGAAATTCTGAACCCAGCACCTTCTCATGTTGGACCCTTTTTGATGTGCTCCCCTGCGGCTTAGGGTTTATAGGGTTTAAGGTCCCCCTCGCCCCCCCGGTCTAGGGTTTAGAAAGGAGCCACACGAAATATTCCCCCCGGAAAGCATGCCTATCACTGGGTGCTCGGGTCATGAGATCCGGAGTAATTAGGGGTTTAAGGTTTGGGGTTTAGGGTTTAGTAGGGGACTTCATTGGCCACTCGAGCTTCGTGGTTCCAACGGCAGGATTTCTTAAATTCCTGTTAGGTCCTCTGGCCTGCGTCTGCCACCACCAGTAAGCACAACAAATTTCAATAATCGTATACTTGGGAACACAACAAGATAACACTCCGGGGCACAGCGCTTAAAGGGCTGGCCGTGGAGGGCTTTTTCATGCGGAGCTTCTGATGCTTAAGGTTTAGCGCTCGGGGGTTCGGGTTTAGGCTTGAGGGCCGAGCAAACCCTGAAAAAGCTTGGGCAGGGTTTGAGACCTGCAAGGTCCGGAGCAAGAAACCATACAAAACCGTTCCGGTCGAGAGCCCTGCTAAAACCGAAACCGGACGAGCGCGGTAATTGGGGGAGGGGTGGGTGAAGGGAGGGAAGGGAGGGGAGGAAGGGGAAAGGAGGGGAGGAAGGGAGGGAGGAGAGGGGGGCGTTTTAGTATTTCAAAGTGGACATTGCTCATGGCGGCCTGAAGTTGGGTGAACACCTAACCCCGAGCACATTTAAGGGCCGCTTGGGGGGGCATTTGGAAGCCTACTACACACTTTACCTCAAAACAGCTATCATCGCTCCCCCAGCATTCATCCTGCTTCGCAGACGGATGTCTGGGGTTTTAGGAGTTTAGGGCTTTAGGGGTTTGGCGTTTTAGGCGTTTAGGGTGCGGGGCCTAAAACCCCTAAACCACAAAACCCCTATGAACCCGAAACCCTAAACCCTGAATCCCATAAAGCCTGAACCAAACAAGCCCTAGACCCTACTATAGGGGCCTTCATACTTGGAATAGGTTGTTGGGGGGTATTAGAGTATAACTATAAAGAAACCGTAAGGGGATACCATTGGTGATTATTCCGACCCCTATATTCAGTCCTTCTAAACCACCAAACTCCCTAAACCCCCCTAAACCCTATAAGGCCTGAACCAAACAAGCGAACCCTAAACCCTAAACCCTAAACCCTAAGCCCTAAAACCTAAACCCTAGACCCCTAAGTCCTTAAGCCCAGACCTCCAGGCGGCTCAGCCCAATCTCTTCCAGATCTGCCTCGGCTTGGGGGAGAGCCAGTAAGCCCCCCAAAACAAGCATGTTACCAGGATGGTCTTTTGGGGTTTAGGGTTTAGGGTTTAGGGCTTGGGGTTTAGGGTCTGATAATCCCCCAAATCAACCCACAGCAGGCCGTTTTAAGGGGTTATAGGGCATCATAGCCCATGCTGGTACGTCTGCGCTGCGCCCCATAACCGAAGGAAGCCTTTTTTGAGCACTAAAGAGACTGACTCTGAACCCACCCCCCCCATGCCTTAAGCCCTGAACGCCTAAATCGTACGTAAGTCCACCCGAGTCCACCCTACCCTTGAAGAATGGCAAAGGACTCCTTCTTCTGGCCTTGTCGACCTCTCGGAGGAACTCAAGACTAGTCTTACTACTGTATACCCTTAACCCTCGGCACCCAAGGTCAAGGGTCTAAAAGGTAGTTACATGGTCCCTTAACATGGGCCCTTAAAAGGAACCCCTTATATACCCCTTATATAACCTATACAAGTTAAGGGCCCATACAGCAGAGCCCTGTAAAGGAGGTTAGGGACCATGCTAAGGGCCCATGTACCTCCCCTTAGATAAGGGCTACGCGAGAACTACGGAGGGCCAGGGCCTAGCCTCAAACTCTAGAACCCGAATTCACACTCTCGATCCTAAACCCTAGACCTCAACAACTCTCAACCAAAAGAACGGTAAAACCCGTGAACTCGAAAACAAACCATTTGAAAACACCAAGCCCCCCGACCCTAGATCCTAAACCCTAAAACCCAAACCCCAAACCCTAAACTTTAAACCCTAAACCCAAGCCCAGCTGCAATCTCCAGCTCCGACACCTCATGAAGGTGCCGCACGCCCAGGGGCTTCTCAAACTTGGGCAGCAGGTGTCGCAGTCCAAGGGACTCCTTGGATGGGTTTAAGGTTTAGGGTGTAGGGCTTAGGGCTTAGGGTTTAGCCCCAAAATGCCCGTGGCCCCCAATGCCCACGGAAAACTTTGCTAGAACTTCCTGCCCACGGAAAGTGTTGCCAACCGTTCCTTGCCCACGGAAAACTTTAACAGAATGCCCTGCCCACAGCAAAATGTTACACTGCAAACTTGACCCATGCACACAGACAACTCTACCATTCTCACAAAAACTTTACCAAAACCGCCGGCGTTGTGTTCTAGCTTTCCGTGGGCAGAGCATTTTGGCAAAGTTTGCCGTGGGCATGGTAAAGCTTTCTGTGGGCATGGCAGTGCCCGATAAGGAGTTAAGGGTATGTAAAGATAAACGATAAACGTGTGAAAGAGAGGTTTATGGTCCTGGGGTTTAGGGGGGTTTGGGGCTGAGGGTCTTGGAGAGCTTATGGGGATTTTAAGGTTTGGCGTGACAGGTTGGCTGGCGTGCCGGCTCACGCGTGCAGGTGGGGGAAGGGCATCTGGAGCGTGGGGTTTAGGGTTTAGGGCTTAGGGGTAGGGAACAGGGTTTAGGAATCATAGAGCTCATCCACAGAGCTACTTTGAACCCACCCTCAAAAAAGGATAGGTGCCCAATTTAGAAACACCCTCATATGGAGGGATATACGTACCCCCGAAATCCAGAGCAGAACCAGCATTTCGTCCCTATTCCCTGTTGTTCAACGGGCCTACCTGGAGGGAGAAAATCCCAAAAACCAAAACCCAAACCCCTAGCTCTCTGCGCCCTAATTCCCCGTTGTGCAACGGGCCTACGTGGAGGGAGAAAATCCCAAAAACCCAAACCCCAAACCCTAGCTCTCTGCAGCCCCGCTTGCCAAGGCTGTCGCCAGCTCGCCATCCCTGGACCCCGGCATGACTTAATGCTGTCCTGACGGCTGCAAGTAAGACGGCTTTTGCGGGTTTAGAGTTTAGGGTGTTGAGGCTTCATGTGTCTGGGGCGTACATAGGGTCTAGGGCTTGTGGCTTAGGGTTTAGGGGCCCTAAACCCTAAACCCCGAACCCTAAACCCTGAACCCTTTAGGGTTTATCCTGTTAGCGTCGGGCGTTTAGGGTTACGGCTTGGGGCTTCAGCGCTACGAGTTCCTGGAGCCCGAAAAGCAGCAGCTGCACATATCTGGAGCAAGTCACGCCAAGGCCTTCGGGTTTGGGGCTTAGGGTTTCGGGTTTAGGGTTTAGGGTTTAGGGGTGGAGGTTAAGCCCTCAAGCCGGTATTTTGCAGTTGCAATGCTAAGTGGGACCTGCAGGTTTAGGGTTTAGGGTTTGGGGTTTTTAGGGTTTACGGGTGAAATGGAACCAAGAGGGCTTTGAGCTTGGCTGAGGTCTAGGGTCCAGGATGTACAATTCAGTGTTGCCTTTCTAAAACAAGGCAGACCCTAAACCCCAAACCCTAAACCCTGAACCCTAAACCCTAAACCCTGAACCCTGAACCCTAAACCCTAAACCCTAAATCCTAAACCCTAAACCCTAAACCCAAGAAAGAGGCCACGAAGGTCCCTGTGCAAACAGAGCGGCTCAGGGCGTCGACATGCTGTGGACGTACTTGACCCTACAAACTCAAACTTGCTGGGTTGAGGTTTCAGGGTTTCGGGGCCCTAGCTAGCAAAGACCCGGGGAGGCGGGTAGCCTTTTCGGAACCCCCTTGAAGTTCAAATTTGAGGCCGGAATTCGGCGTATGCTTCCTGCAACCGAAATTTCGGCTGAAGTTTGACCTCGGCGCCTGTCTAAATTCGGCGCCGAAATTCGGACCACTCCACTCGGCCCTGACGCCTAAAATGCCCTGCAGCCTAAACCCTAAACCCTAAACCCTACACCCTACACCCTAAACCCTCAACCCTAAACCCAATTAAACCTGAGGAATCATGCCCAACAGGCCCTGCAGAGCCTGCTGTTTCTGCGCTGGACGTCCGCACGGGGAACAACTCCCCCCTGAGTCACTGAGCTGAAAAGGATGCCCATTCGCAATCTACGAAGCACTCAAGCCTCAAACCCTAAGGGTTTAGGGTTTAGGGTTTAGGGTTTAGGGTTTAGGGCTTAGCGCTATAGACCCTAGACAACCCCCAAACCCTTTGGCTCAAAATAGCCCCAAAAACTTATATGATGAGGCCTTTGGGCCCAACACACAGAGTCTCCGAACTGCAATGCTGGCTCAAACATGTGCATCAACGGCTTAGAAGAAAGAAAAAACAACCCTTGACTCCACCACATCTCTACAGCAAATAATCTGGTCAAGGGCCTTTGACTTTGACCTTGTTCAAGTCCAGCTGAGCAACTGTCGGTCTGAGTGGCCAGGCGAACCATGTGCGTAGTTTGGGGTTTAGGGCGAGCGGGGTGCGAGAGAAAGGGTGTTGAACAGGCACCCTATACCCTAAACCCTACACCCCAAACCCTAAACCCTAAACCCCAAACCCTAAACCCTAAGTTGCCAGCTGGGTGAGACTCTTCATCTCTGAGCGGGCCTCCGGGATGGCTAGAAACTCAGCGACCGACGCGTCTGAAGACTCGTCACTAGAGGCGTTCTTTGTTATACCCCAAACCTCAAACCCCAAACCCCAAACCCTAAACCCTAAAGCAAGCCCTAAACCCTAAACCCTAAACCCCAAACCCCAAATCCTAAACCCTAGAGGTGTTCTTTGCCCCGAAGGTTATACACCGGAAGGGTCCCCTGAATATACTCCGAATATGGCCCTTTTGTTCCTTTAGAGGATCTTAAACGGGGGGTATATACAACTTAGGTAGAGTCCTTTGAAAAGGGACAATAACATGCAAGTCTTGTTTCACTACAGTCGTACACCCCAAACGACACCCCGTATATATTTAGAAGTGGCCAGATACTACACTCACCCACTACCAGCAACATAAACGGCTGCTTCATCCCTAAAGCCCCAAACCCTGATCCGAAGGGCCTCATCTACTCTACAGTGAAGTGCGGGCCCAAGGCCATATATAGATATATGTATATATGTATATATGTATATATGTATATATGTATATATGTATATATATATATATATATATATATATTTGTTTATTTCTGTTAGTATATCATATTATGTTATAATGTATTATATTATATCATATTATATTACGTTACAATATATGTATTTGTTTATGTATATATACTTTTTTATATTGATCCCTTAGGGTTTTGGGGCTTATTTAGGGCATATGGAAGTCTCCATTTTGAACCCTAAGCCCCATGAGCCTCAAACCTTCCTCTCTTCTGCGGGGACATGATCGGTTTAAAGTAGTAGCACCTACATGCTTGGAAAACCCTGGGGTGTAGGGTTTAGGGTTTAGGGTTCAGGGTTTAAGGTGTAGGGTTTAGGGTGTAGGGTTTAGGCTAGAAACCTAACCATAGCTGGGCTCTGAGTACTCTCCTATTTCGGGGTTGTTGCTACCCAGAACCATGCTACATACAGGTTCGGGGGTCTGTTTTGAGCCCAAGGGGAAGTGGACCCTAAACCCTAAACCCTAAACCCTAAACCCTCTTTCGCGTTTACACTTCCGGAAGGCCCTGCAGTGGCTTGCGAAGCCAGCTCGCATTTTGCGAGGGCGTGCGCGGTGACACTCAAACCCTTCGTGACTTGTGGCGCCAGCGCATTTGGGGGATAGGGTTTAGGGTTTAGGGTTTAGGGTTTAGGGTTTAGGGTTTAGGGTTTAGGGTTTAGGGTTTAGGGTTTAGGGGTACCTTATTGGGGTCCTTCTTATACGGGAATCCGACTACTTGGGGGACTATCTTAGGGGCCCCTCGTTGTCGCAAACTCCCACTTGAGCACTGGGGTTTCAGGGTTTCGGGTGCAGCAACTATAAAACATCCCAAGCGGCTGCCCAGTTGTAGGGGGTACCGCCTGCACCCTAAACCCTTTACAAACCCTAAACCCTAAACCCGAAGTCCAAAACCCTAAGCCCGAAGTTACGGTAGCATTAGGGGGTTCCGGGTGTTGGATAGCCCTAAATGGGGTTTAGGGTTGAGGGTTTGGGGCTAAGGTTTGGGGCCTAGGATTTGGGGTTCGGGTTTGCAGTTTTAAGGTTTGGGGCTTAGGGTTTAGGTCGGTGTTGGGGCTGGAGGGAAGGGTCTCTCGGGACTGAAATTGCAGGCAGGCGCCAGCATTATCGATCCTTGTCGGCAAAGGCAGCTGCCAGTCTCTGCCTTCGAGCGCTTGGGGTTAAGGTTTAGGGGTTTAGGGGCTTCGGGGTGTAGAGGTTTGGGGGTTTAGGGGGTTTAGTAGGGGGTTTAGTGGGGGTTTAGGGGGTTAGGGTCCAGGGAAATGTTTACCTGTAGAAGTTCTTGCATGTAAGGTACCTGCGAAGTGAGCTTTGGAGCCTCAGCGAAAACCAAGATACCCTCACCCTAGGCACCCTAGGCACCCCTAAGCACCCGGAATGTACTGCCTCTGAGTTGAGAATGAGGGAATTGGGTGCCCTGCATGCTCCCTTAGAGAGGCAATCTTGGGATTTCAGGTCGTTCCATCATTCCCTGCTCGGAACTAGTAAGTACACACCCCCTCAACTTGGAAGACCTGCAATGCGAATGATGTACAACCACACGGTCCCGCGGCAGAAAATTCGAAGCATCTTCCCAAAACCCCTAAACCCTAAACCCTAAACTCTCAGGGTTGCACCTCACGCGCGTGAGGATCAGCGCCTCAGGGCATGGGCTACGAATTCTTAAACTTTTGCGGCTCCCAGGATTTGAGGGGTAGGGTTTAGGGTATAGGGTATAGGGTATAGGGTTGCAGGGTTTCAGGGTTTCAAGATTTTAGGGTTAGTTAGGGCCTTGGGGTTGGAGCTAAACTTTTTCGGCGGACCTCTGCGAAGAATCCCTGAGGGAATACAAGGGCCATGGTAGGAGTATACGACGGGAAGTCTATACCAACACGCTCTGTGGGAAAGAGTTTGGGTTCAGCATGAACTGTGGGAAAGAGCTTGGGTTCAGCATGAGCCAAG